GGCCATATTGGATTTCTGATCGACCCGAAAAATAACAACACTTTGTCAGGACCATGAGGCGATCATTCCTACCAACTTTTAGTTCAATCGGCCCAGCAGAACTTGACTTTAAGTTTGAAATGTAAAATGTTAATGGACCACGGATGACGACGGACGAAAACGGATAGCAATAGGTCACTTGAGCTAAAGCTCAGGTGACCTAAAAATCAGAACAAACAATTTTTAACAAATTTATTTCTCCCGTCGGAAGTAGCCGTCATATGTTTCCGTGTGTCTATTTTGACTAAGTGTTCAAAAAAAGATAACTCGAATACACTAAAAAGAAATTCTCTACAGTGACCTGCAAGAACAAAAGCTTTGTTTGAAATAATAAAAACATACCTTTGATCGTCAAATTAATTATCAAAACATTTTTTTTAAATTTCACACTTTTAATAGATTTTTCAAGATGTCAAATTTAACGAATTCATGTAATTTTTTTAATTTATTTATTATATGTATTTAGTTATAATATAGAATCTGTTATTTTTTTTCTGCAGTCTTATATCGGTTTTGGTTGATGGTAAGTTATTTCTCATTTTGTTCTGTTTAAAATTGGTGAAAATTGGAAGTTCATTGCATTACAAGGTTTACGTTTCATTGAAACTACAGTTTATCGATATAAGAATGTCTCATTGGCTCTTCGGAAGTGGAAAAAAATCGGCAAGAAGATGTGGCTTCATTTGCATACGACATTTTCGTACGTTTGTCAGACTACAAAAAAGACCGGTTCATGAATGAAATATATCACTGTTTTTTCAGGTATGGCCTCATTTTGAGCAAGATAAAAAGTGCATTAAGCAAAACTGCATATTTATGCGTGTTTTTTAATCAGTGTTTAATTCTTGTTTTCCAAACGAACTTCCGGTAATTTTTGTGTCAGTTTACAGATGATGGCCAAACGTCTAAAATGTCCTTGTGTTGTGTCCAGCAGGTCTCGTAGTTACGAGACATAGCTTGATAAAATGGCTGCGCGGAAATACATAACGCGCGGAAACTGATGATTAGACGATATCTGACATCCCTGTGATGGAAGGCCTACTGTACGGTTAGACGATTAACAGGAACGGGCAGGAACGGGCAGAAATGGGCAGGAACGGGCAGAAATCTATTAATTATTATATACATTAATGAATATATATATTAGATACATTTAAGTATCATTATAGGGTATAAGATATATTTGATAAAAGGATTGCAATTACATGATCGGGGCAGAATCGGACTAAATTATATATATATATTTATGTCGATACCTACATTTATAGTATCATATATTTGTTATCGGGTATAAGATATATTTGATAAAAGAATTGCAAGGAATTAAGAGTATTGTATTGATATGGATCGGGCAGGAACGGGCGACGATTTACAGGAACGGACAGAAACGGGGCAGGATCGGACTTATTTATATATATTTGATTATCCTTAGCGGGTATAAGGTATATTTGATAAAAGAATTGCAATTACATGATCGGAGCAGAATCGGACTAAATATATATATATATACTACATTGTACAATATGGTATAAAATGTACATATATGTATATTGTCGCTATCACATTGTTGTAGTACAAATGTTGAGGAGAGGGCTTTGATAAGTTGTATTAACTTGTGCCTTATCCTCTTGCATGAATTTAGAAGCAATAAAATATGTTTTAATTAAAATGAAATATGTTGAATGAAAAAGGAATCTCAACGATTCCCAACCAAGTCCCGCCTGATATTGAAAGCGAAGTTGATTGGCACACGAGACGTCTCTGACGAGACCGAGCTCACCAGACACATAGGAAATGTTCAAAGGAAATGTGTTCTATTTTGATGCACGTTCATATAAGACCAGAGAATACAAATTTGAAACGTTTTATTGTGGAAAAACGTCTGCGTTGCTGTCCGGTGAGATACCATTGAATGATCTGTTCTTGAAGTTTTACAGTTTTGAGTTTAGCTGGTGAATTAATTTTCTCAGCTTCATCAGGCAAGATAATCATATATAATATATAAATAATATATGATACTATAAATGTAGGTATCATAAGTAATTCAACATAAATGCATATATATAATTTAGTCCGATTCTGCCCCGATCATGTAATTGCAATCCTTTTATCAAATGTATCTTATACCCGATAATGATACTTAAACATATCTAATATATGTATCTTATACCCGATAAAAAAATGTATATATAAATATATATATATATAATTTAGTCCGATTCTGCCCTGTTCATGTAATTGCATTTTGTTTTTATCAAATATACCTTATAAGGATAATTAAATATGTATAATAAATATATATTTCATTCCATTTTATTTTTTCCAAAAGTTTACAACTTATAGACCAATACATATTCAATACATGCTTACCAGGGCGGCAGTTTGTTTGTGTAAACAAATAAGTGGCATGTATTTTAAATGAATCATGTATTTAAATGAATGTACATCATCAGTGATATACTAATTAAAGAAAAAATAATAAAAATAATGTATTGAAGGAGAACGCATTGTTGTTGGTTCATACATTTAAATTTGTTTTCAGATTCTCTCTCAACATAAATGATTCGTGCAGAAACTTTCCAAAGAGGTATGGCGGGTTGCTATGCCTATTTCCCCAAAGTTATGTTACGCTAGTGCGCGCAGCCTTTTCCGCACGACATTGCTCCTTACTCTTCGGTGTTTCGTACAGGTCCTCATACTTGGAGGTTAAAGGGGTTGACGTGTGAACCAAACTGCTTAGACACTTCGGTGAATAATCAAAAAGTGTTGGTAACGCTCCCGGATTTAATATCAGACTTTTAGGTTCAAAGCCTATCGACGACATCAATCGTGGATCTCTCACGAAGCTGCCTGTTTCAAAATGGTTTTGACAGTCTCGTGTGTGAGGTTGGAGAAAATCCCTTTCTCTTTACGTTAATTGTCCATGTTTTCCGCAGCTTTTTGTCCTTTGGGAACAGGAACATACTGATTTTCTCTCCATTATTGGAATTACTGTTACAGTTCAGCGCAGCACAGTGTACCATGTTTGTTTACGTTGTACTGACAGCTGGCGCGCTTTCCGGTCGTCTCAAATGACGTCACATCCAAAGGGAAGTAACTGCGTACATACTCTGTGCTTCCAAAGGTGTACGATTAAACGGGCCGTTTTCAAATAAAAAATTATGCACAAATACGGACTTTTTTTTGAAAAAATAGAATGACAACTAATTATATTATGTTTTATTAATATTTTGACACTAAATTTGACGTGTTTTAGCATTTGGTGGTTGTTCACCTTTAATGCTAAACGTTAACATACATGCCATACCTAACGATTTTGGCGTGAGAATCACGAAAAATAGCCTTCCAAAATGTCTAACGGCATGGGACCCATTTTTCATGCTTTTTATTTCAAATATTTTGATCTCAAGAAAAATCGTTCCATGTAATATCCGCCATTTTTACTTGGTATGAAATCGGGTCTCTGACACGAAAAGAAACGAAATTTGGTCTCACTAAGAGGTCTGAAGTCACACGCCAGCCACTTAAATTACAGGCCAGACCAATTAGCAGCATAGGTGTGAAAGATCTGAATGGCCCAGCCAGTCGATTTAGCAGGGCATCATGGCTTGGTGACTTGCTCACCAATGTGTGAACTGTTAAGCAATTAAATCAGTGACCCCACATCAAGTGGGGGCTAGTTGCTAATTAATATGTGAAGACAGTTGATATAAACATTAAACAGCAACTTGAGAGCTGTTAATTCATTGCAATCAAAAAAATGGTTTACCGAAACGGAAATGTTGGAGGTGACTATAAAATTGAAACCGGACACTGACATTGAATCCGGAATTCATTCTCTTGCCGTCGGGATGGGATTGTGTATTAATGAAAATAACATAAATAGAAGAAAACAAGTTTCTTTAGAATTGGATATATAAAAATAGTAGTTATTGGTTATTTTTTCCCAACAAATTAATATTAAATTTTCCCAATGTTTTGAGATATATTTTTTTCTAACCTGGGTTAACAAGGACATATCCCTCTAGAATATCTTATTTTTTTAATTACTCTTATTTTTTGCCTTTTATGTGATTTATTTACTTTTAAATGTTGATAGCTATATCTGGACCGTATGTCACGTGTAAATCTTCCTAAAATCCTTTAAAATATCAATAAATCTTCAGTTTTGGCTCTAGCAAAGGAATTAGAGGCTTTAGAATAACACAAATGATTCAATACTAGGGTATGTTATATGCTACATAATTTATGTTTTAAATGTCTCACAAATTTCTCACGAATTCAGAGATATTATATCATAACCTCCCTACCAACAAGTCCTCCAATATTATATCATAACCTCTCTACCAACAAGCCCTCCAATATTATATCATAACCTCCCTATCAACAAGCCCTCCAATATTATATCATAACCTCCCTATCAACAAGCCCTCCAATATTATATCATAACCTCCCTATCAACAAGCCCTCCAATATTATATCATAACCTCCCTATCAACAAGCCCTCCAATATTATATCATAACCTCCCTATCAACAAGCCCTCCAATATTATATCATAACCTCCCTATCAACAAGCCCTCCAATATTATATCATAACCTCCCTATCAACAAGCCCTCCAATATTATATCATAACCTCCCTATCAACAAGCCCTCCAGTATTATATCATAACCTAACTACTGTATCTTCATGTGATAAAATTATATTTGATTATCTCAACTCAACCAAAATATCCTGTAATCTAAATTGTAACATTGTTATGAAATCTTTAATTGGTTGTTTTTGCTTGGAAACATTTTAAACCATCAGGCCTTGTAATTACATACCAGGGGATGCAGTTCTTCCTGCACGACCAGGCTGAGGAGGGGGCTGTTTTCTATCAGGTTCATCATAATTCTCCTCTGGATCATCTACAAAGGAAGACAAATAATCATCTAGGCATTGAGCTTAAAAAAGCAAGTACAAACTTGTTAAGCATGTATGTCTGAAGCGTTGCTTTGGGTCTGTATAAAAAACAACATCAAACCATTTGACAGATGATGGTTTGTAAAACATACACTGAGGGACTCGCTCCTATTTAAAAGCAAATAGATCTAAATGCAAAAGGAATAGAACTTGATACAATATCTTTCCAAAGGAATAGATCTAAATGCAAAGTCTAACCAAAGGAATAGAACTTGATGCAATATCTTTCCAAAGGAATAGATCTAAATGCAAAGTCTAACCGAAGGAATAGACTTGATCACAAATTGACACTTTTTTACAAAACTACACGCTATTTTTTTAAAAGTTTCTTCATCATTTAGGTGTATCGCGTAACACTAAAGCATCAAATAATGAAAATGGCTGAAAAGAGTAGCACATGGTTGATAAGTAGGTCACTGTGACCTTGTTATATATTGTCTTAATAATGTCAACAATTCTTCCTTTTTTGTGCCTAAATACATATTAGAACCATCCAATCTTCTTACAATATTGTATTAATAAGTATCTAAACCAAGCCTCAAGAAGGGGGACATAAGCATGTACTAGTTTACTTTGATGTAGTGAAGGGCATAAACATGTACTAGTTTACTTTGATGTAGCGAAGGGCATAAACATCTACTAGTTTACTTTGATGTAGGGGGAAATAAGCATGTACTAGTTTACTATGATGTCGTGGAGGGCATAAACATGTACTAGTTACTTTGATGTAGGGGGACATAAACATGTACTAGTTTACTATGATGTCGTGAAGGGGATAAACATGTACTAGTTTACTATGATGTCGTGAAGGGCATAAACATGTACGAGTTTACTATGATGTAGTGAAGGGCATAAGCATGTACTAGTTTACTTTGATGTAGGGGGACATAAACATGTACTAGTTTACTTTGATGTAGCGAAGGGCATAAACATGTACTAGTTTACTTTGATGTAGTGAAGGACATAAACATGTACTAGTTTACTATGATGTAGTGAAGGGCATAAACATGTACTAGTTTACTATGATGTAGAGAAGGGCATAAACATGGACTAGTTTACTATGATGTAGGGGGACATAAACATGTACTAGTTTACTATGCTGTAGTGAAGGGCATAAACATGTACTAGTTTTCTTTGATGTAGGGGGACATAAGCATGTACTAGTTTACTTTGATGTAGTGAAGGGCATAAACATGTCCTAGTTTACTTTGATGTAGGGGGACATAAACATGTACTAGTTTACTATGATGAAGTGAAGGGCATAAACATGTACTAGTTTACTAAGATGTAGTGAAGGGCATAAACATGTACTAGTTTACTATGATGTAGGGGGACATAAGCATGTACTAGTTTACTTTGATGTAGTGAAGGGCATAAACATGTACTAGTTTACTTTGATGTAGGGGGACATAAGCATGTTTTAGTTTACTATGATGTAGTGAAGGGCATAAACATGTACTAGTTTACTATGATGTAGTGAAGGGCATAAGCATGTACTAGTTTACTATGATGTAGTGAAGGGCATTAACATGTACTAGTTAACTTTGATGTAGGGGGACATAAGCATGTACTAGTTTATTATGATGTAGTGAAGGGCATAAACATGTACTAGTTTACTTTGATGTAGTGAACGGCATAAACATGTACTTGTTTACTTTGATGTAGGGGGACATAAGAATGTACTAGTTTACTATGATTTAGTGAAGGGCATAAACATGGACTAGTTTACTTTGATGTAGGGGGGGGGGGGGCAAAAAAAAAGCAAATACTTTTTTACTTTGATGTAGTTAGGGGCAAAGCATGTACTTTTTTACTTTCATGTAGTGAGGGCAGAGGTATGTACTAGTTTACTTTGATGTAGGGGGGGGGGGGGCATAACATAAGCACATACTTTTTTACTTTGATGTAGTTAGGGGCAAAGCATGTACTTTTTTACTTTGATGTAGTGAGGGCAGAGGTATGTACTAGTTTACTTTGACGTAGTGAGGGGCATAATCATGTACTATTTAACTTTGATAGGGGGGTTAGGAGGGCATAACATAAGCACTTTTTTTTTACTTTGATGTAGTTAGGGGAAAAGCATGTACAAGTTTACTTTGATGTAGTGAAGAGCATAAGCATGTACTAGTTTACTTTGATGTAGGGGGAATAAGCATGTACTAGTTTACTATGATGTAGTGAAGGGCATAAGCATGTACTAGTTTCCATTGACGTAGGGAGGAGAATAAGCATGTGGCTTGGGGAGGAGCATAAGAATATACTTGTTTTCTTTGATGAAGGATGGGAGGAATAAAAATATTCAATATATCAATATGCACTGTTTTAGCGGAAAATATGTTGACAAGTTGATATAAACTGTCCCTAATACTCCTTTTGAACAGGTTGTTGTGACAGAGAGATGTCTACAGGTTTGTATTGAACAGGTTGTTGTGACAGTGAGATGTCTTCAGGTTTGTATTGAACAGGTTGTTGTGACAGAGAGATGTCTACAGGTTTTGTATTTAACAGGTTGTTGTGACAGAGATGTCTACAGGTTTTGTATTGAACAGGTTGTTGTGCCAGAGAGATGTCTACAGGATTTGTATTGAACAGGTTCTATGTGACAGAGAGATGTCTCCAGGTTTGTATTGAACAGTTTGTTGTGACAGAGAGACGTCTACAGGTTTGTATTGAACAGTTTGTTGTGACAGAGAGACGTCTACAGGTTTGTATTGAACAGGTTGTTGTGACAGTGAGATGTCGTCAGGTTTTGTATTGAAAAGGTTGTTGTGACAGAGAGATGTCTACAGGTTTTGTATTGAACAGGTTGTATGTGACAGACAGATGTCTACAGGTGTTGTATTGAACAGGTTGTTGTGACAGGGAGATGTCGTCAGGTTTTGTATTGAAAAGGTTGTTGTGACGGAGAGATGTCTACAGGTTTGTATTGAACCGGTTGTATGTGACAGAGAGATGTCTACAGGTGTTGGATTGAACAGGTTGTTGTGACAGAGAGATGTCTACAGGTTTTTTATTGAACAGGTTGTATGTGACCGAGAGATGTATACAGGTTTTGTATTGAACAGGTTGTATGTGACAGACAGATGTCTACAGGTGTTGTATTGAACAGGTTGTTATGACCGAGAGATGTCTACAGGTTTGTATTGTACAGGTTGTATGTGACAGAGAGATGTCTACAGGTGTTGGATTGAACAGGTTGTTGTGACAGAGAGATGTCTACAGGTTGGTATTGAACAGGTTGTTGTGACAGTGAGATGTCGTCAGGTTTTTTATTGAAAAGGGTGTTGTGACAGAGAGATGTCTACAGGTTTTGGATTGAACAGGTTGTTGTGACAGAGGGATGTCTACAGGTTTGTATTGATCAGGTTATTGTGACGGAGAGATGTCTACAGGTTTGTATTGAACAGGTTGGATGTGACAGAGAGATGTCTACAGGTGTTGTATTGAACAGGTTGTTATGACCGAGAGATGTCTACAGGTTTGTATTGAACAGGGTGTATGTGACAGAGAGATGTCTACAGGTGTTGTATTGAACAGGTTATTGGGACAGAGAGATGTCTACAGGATTGTATTGATCAGGTTATTGTGACAGAGAGATGGCTACAGGTTTGTATTGAACAGGTTGTTGTGAGAGAGAGATGTCTACAGGGTTTGTATTGAACAGGTTGTTGTGACAGTGAGATGTCGTCAGGTTTTTTATTGAAAAGGGTGTTGTGACAGAGAGATGTCTACAGGTTTTGTATTTAACAGGTTGTTGTGACAGAGAGATGTCTACAGGATTGTATTGATCAGGTTATTGTGACAGAGAGATGGCTACAGGTTTGTATTGAACAGGTTGTTGTGCACGAGAGATGTCTACAGGTTTGTATTGAACCGGTTGTATGTGACAGAGAGATGTCTACAGGTGTCGTATTGAACAGGTTGTTGTGACCGAGAGATGTCTACAGGTTTGGATTGAACAGGTTGTTGTGACAGAGCGATGTCTACAGGGTTTGTATTGAACAGGTTGTTGTGACAGATAGATGTCTACAGGTTTTGTATTGAACAGGTTGTTGTGGCCGAGAGATGTCTACAGGTTTGTATTGAACCGGTTGTATGTGACAGAGAGATGTCTACAGGGGTTGTATTGAACAGGTTGTTGTGACAGAGGGATGTCTACAGGTTTGTATTGAACAGGTTGGATGTGACAGAGAGATGTCTACAGGTGTTGGATTGAACAGGTTGTTGTGACAGAGAGATGTCTACAGGTTGGTATTGAACAGGTTGTTGTGACAGTGAGATGTCGTCAGGTTTTGGATTGAAAAGGTTGTTGTGACAGAGAGATGTCTACAGGTTTTGTATTTAACAGGTTGTTGTGACAGAGAGATGTCTACAGGATTGTATTGAGCAGGTTATTGTGACAGAGAGATGTCTACAGGTTTGGATTGAACAGGTTGTTGTGACAGAGCGATGTCTACAGGGTTTGTATTGAACAGGTTGTTGTGACAGAGAGATGTCTATAGGTTTGTATTGAACAGGTTGTTGTGACCGAGAGATGCCCACACATTTGTATTGAACAGGTTGTTGAGACAGACAGATGTCACATTCTACAGGTTTTGGATTTGATGTGTTCAGGAAACAGGCAAAAGGAATCAGAATGTACTGGAATGGACAGGGAATAAACACTTGTGAGATATACATAACTATAGGTATCACAAGTAGTCAGACAGAATGCCAACCTTGAACATTTTGGTGTCCTTTCTTTATTATCACAGAATTTTGTTTAAAGTCATTTAGGGCTGTTTTCAAGTTAGCAACAGAAAACTTTTCCTTGTGAGTTTCTCCTCTGTGAACAGGTGGTGCTTTGTGTTCCGATGTGTTTTCATAGTCATCATCAGGACTAGAATCTGAATCTTCCTGGGTCTGACGTATGGGTAAAAACTTGACAATCATCAACCTAGTCATCCAGTTATACACATCATTATCAAATGTTACATTGGCATTTCAGATTTTTAACTTTATCAATTTATGTAACACATGCTTTCTCTTTTCAAATTTATTTAAAAAATTAAAATGAATATGTCAAACTATTAATAATATAACATTTCAATAAACTGATACAATTTTACTACTTTGAAATCATGCATTGCTAGTTTTTGTATCATCAGACAATGTGGAAATCCTGCGAAATTTGTTTAGTAATACATGTCATCTCGTTGCCTATTATCTTTCATCTGAAAATATTTTTAGAAATTTACAATTCCATATCAAGATTGATTTATTCATATTAATAATAAAGTGTTACAAGAAAAACATGTTTACAGGTATACATATTTAAAAGTCTCCTTGAAAATCTGGAATCAGAAATCCATTAAATTATGGAATATATTTATCAAAGCTTTGCAGATGCATTTACCTAGTTGATACCCTGGTTTGTTAATACATGCATGCAAGCAGTAAGGTAGTTGTATGTCTCGCTTAGTAAGATAGTGGAAATAAGCGTGCCAGTATAAATATAAAATTATCCTAAAATATTGATAATAAGCCACAGCTTATTTTTTCATTTTCAGTATGAAATCCGAGGCATATTTTTGATGCCTCCCTCTTTTCAAGGTAGTCTTTAATATTTTCGACGTTATTTAGACAGTAAGCCATCAATGACTTATTTTCAAGTCCCTCGTTTTTAGACAGGAACATTTTTATGTTATCCAGTTTTCTTAATTATTTTTTTAAAGTCAGTTCAATACTAATTAAATCATGTATTTATTTGTGTCCTGTAAACATAGACTTTTCGAAGCCTTCCTATTTTCAAATCAGGCTTATTTTGAAATTTTAGGGTATAAGACCATATCTTTCATAAATATACAACATTTCACAGTTACATGGACAGATTATGACTATGATGAATTCCAGCATAGTTTTCATATATCCAGTAACCTCATGTCAATTCCAATTTGGTTATAAGTTTAGTGAGATTTGGCCAGCTGGGTTTTTATACTGCTGATCAGCTAGCTAACATTGACACTGGGATGAAGTGCTAGTCTGACTCTCTTGTATTAATATATTGCTCTTGGTAAAAGTTTCAATTCACAATAAGGGTTTTCTTCAGTACAGTATAGGAGTTTAGATCGGTTAGTGAATAATGTTGAAGACATCCGTAATGATCATCATGCTACAATGTATCTTGGAAGTATGATACGAATATTTATATTTCAACAACCAAAATTGATTCTAATATTGACATGTACGTATCAAAGATATGAAATGCAGGTAAAGCTTCATACAGCAGACCTGTAAATTAACATTGACAAAATATTTAAAAAAATAATGATTACAACAGCTTATTACAATATTCACCTGAAATTGAATATCTGACATAAATTTGCCCAATATTTCAAGTTATAGAATTAAGTGTTCTCAAGTCTAATTAAATGTTGGTTTTATATATAACTTCACACAATGAAAGAGTTAGCCTGTTTATTACTTGAGGTAAGACACAGATATGTATGTCCAAGCAAAGAACAAGTACTAAAACCTACTGCAAACATTTGGCGTATCAGGGGCTACTCACTCTATAACAAACCTACTAATAGTAACAAATTCTTTTCAAAAGATTTTAAAGGAAGCTAGACTCTGCGAAGTCACAGAGAAACTTGATAAAGAATGCGAGCTAGGTATAAATGAGCACAATAACCCCCCACCCCCACTCCCACCACCCCACCACACACACACACACACACACACACAATTTCATTTCCCCAGTCTAGATATACATTTTTTTACATGTACAGTATGTTATTTAGGTTATGTATAATATGTTATTTAGGTTGAGTGTCTCTATAATTGTAATTGTGCTTTCTTTTGCACAAAATTTATAACAACATGATTGTATTATTTTGTTTTGACTTTAATTAGCGATCGAGTCCCCCAGTTCATCCCTTACCAAGCCTTACCAACACCCAGCCTAAAGCTGACAATTAACTTCTTATAGATACAGATACAGACATTAAGGAGCATCAAGTTGGTAAAATGAACCTACAAGACCCAGCTGTAATGATACTTGTACCTGAAGTAGCTGACTGCATTCCTATAGCTTGACCCTTAAGTGACCATCACCACAAAATTGTGACTCATTTGCATACGACATGAAAGTATATTGATATATAGTCGTACAAATCACATCAATGCATGCAAAGCACCAAATAAGATATTTACAGAAAACTTTTCCAGAGTAAGATCCAAATACTATACAAGGCTACAATAGTTCTGTACGGCCTATATAATAGTTCTAAATGGCCTATGTAGTTTTAGATACGTTTCTGTTTACGAAGTTGATAGATTATCAATGAAGGGTCCATGTTATTGCTAAGTCAACAGTCAAACAATTGTACCATACCTGGTTGTTGAATTTTATCTGGCTTTTTATAAACTCGAGTTGGCTTCCGGTCCATGTTATTCACATGGCCCGATGAATTGTTTCGAAATATATGTCGACACGCAATGACGGCTGAGCCTTCTTTAAATATTGTTTTCAGTCTATTTTCCGGAGGTAAACTAGAACTCCTTTTTCTTGCATACTTTCCAAATCCCTTTTTCTCTAAAAATTTTCCCAGAGCACTCATGGTAGTATCAGTGGATGAAGAAGTTTCACCTTTCATTGTGTCCATTGACGCTTTGATTATAACATGTAGAACAAGGTGTCCTCCTTTTAACAACTGATTCCCATGCACATTTTTTACATCACAAGTATTTTACTATGAACACTGTCAGTATAATGATCCTCTAATCATGGAAATCACATTTTAATATCCAACACCATTCATAAAATTCCATGAGACATCCAAGCTTGTGTTGAAGGGAAACTAAACGAATTATGAAATATAGGCTCAAGTGATGTAAAACATTATCATGACAATGTGTTCATTTTCACTATATCCAAACAGAATGAGAAATAATCCACAAAATTATGTCACACTATTTCAGTCTACATAAGAGATTGTCAGCCAAACATTTCACATCCAAAGTAACTCGCTGTTGTTATGTATACTGCATACACAAAGCTGTCATCTCATCATTTCACCTTCACTTGTAAGTGGTCAAATTCTAGTCAAAAATTAAAATATCACCAACTACTGATAAAATCAGTGTCGCGACAAATCGATATATCACCACTCCTATATACAAATGCATATGGTTTGAATGATTCTTGTTAACAGAGAAATATTAAAAGGATTAGCTCCAAAATATATAGGGTACAAATTGGTCAAGAGAAACAGAACTGACACAAATCTGTCCAGTATTATCACAAGCACATGTTGGTCAGGATGTCAACATGCCTGGAATAGATGTTTTTACACTGAAAAATTGTGTACATGGATATTTGACTTACGATGTGACTCCTGCTGGTGTATCCCTACATACTACTACCTTGAGAAACTATGACCTGAGGCTGTTATACCGGCTGAGACATATCTCATGATTGAGTGGTGATGGATGGTTTCAGGCCATTTATGCTAATGTTAGTCATTGAATTCTGCATGTGGACAACAACTCAACGTGTCCAGTAATGACATCATTAAGTAGTGATAATTATGGTAAAAGGGGTAAGTGATCAAGATGGGACACTGATCTCTTATTATTATGTCAGTATTAATATTGTGGTAATGCAGAGCAATCGATTTATGACAGATTTCAATAGGTAAAGATCAGGTATTTTAAAATCATAAACATACGCGAGTCATTTGATAATATTATATAATGGCCACTATCATGTCTGAAGAAGCCTTCTTTAACAACTATCATCACATTTTTGTTAACAAGTTGACAAAAAAATGTAATTCTAAGTAATGAAATTATTAAGTTCTTTTGATTGTGACCTTCAGCCCTACTATAAATATGTCACTGCTGACATCACATATGTACTGACATTTACTGCCAATATATATAGATATATGTATCATCTTAGGAGTCATTAGATAACAGTTTGTTTACATCATCATATTTACAAGTTTGATGAGTATTTGGCTGTATGTATGATCCAACATTTTCACTGGTAGCTAAGGGGCCCAAACTGTCATGTTACCGAACCCTATGACTCAACAGTACATACGTACTGGTAGCTACATACAAGAGGCCCAATGGGCCTGCATCGCTCACCTGGTATTAATCTCACACTTGTAATCTTAAAAGTGGACTAAAATACAGCTTCAGGCAGAATATCAGTGTTTGATTCATAAGAACCTATTAAAAGATTTAAACATATGACGCCTGTGACCTTGAATGTCGAACATCGACATCAGGTTGGAAGTGGATCAAGGTCAATCATTTGAACAAACTTTGTAGTCCTTCATCCCAGCATGCTACATGCCCAATATCAGTACCTTGGGCCTTTTGGTTATTGAGAAGAAGTTGTTTGAAGATTTTAAGACATCAGACCCCAGTGACCTTGAAAGTTGGTCAAGGTCATTCATTTGAACAAACTTGTTAGCCCTTCATCCCAGCATGCTACATGCCCAATATCAGTACCTTGGGCCTTTTGGTTATTGAGAAGAAGTTGTTTGAAGATTTTAAGACATCAGACCCCAGTGACCTTGAAAGTTGGTCAAGGTCATTCATTTGAACAAACTTGTTAGCCCTTCATCCCAGCATGCTACATGCCCAATATCAGTACCTTGGGCCTTTTGGTTATTGAGAAGAAGTTGTTTGAAGATTTTAAGACATCTGACCCCAGTGACCTTGAAAGTGGGTCAAGGTCATTCATTTGAACAAACTTCGTAGCCCTTCATCCCAGCATGCTACAGGCCCAATATAAGTACCCTGGGCCTTTTGGTTATTGAGAAGAAGTTGTTTGAAGATTTTATGACATCTAACCCCAGTGACCTTGAAAGTGGGTCAAGGTCATTCATTTGAACAAAATTGGTAGCCCTTC